AAATCAATAGCTAAAGCAACAGAACTGTTTACCAAGGTATATATAAAAAATACATATTTAATTTACATTGCATTTGATTAATTTCCCACAGAATTCCTAGTCATTTCCTAGTTCTAGTCACCATCCATCTTAATATGCATTAGAGCATAATTCGTTCTATTTGAGTTGCCACCACCCCATCATTGAAACATTGGAGGTTGGAATTCAATCCCCACTCACAATCACCCCCCCCCCCCCCGAATTGGAGGTTTTAACTCCCACCACCAAGGAATTCAAGGTGGCAATGGTAACTCAAACACAATCACCAATGTTCTATTAAGCATATTAAGACTAATATTTAAACATGATAATTAGAATTAGTCGACAATGAAACAAATGCAACCTTTTAGTTGACTAGAGCATCTGGTGATAAAGGGATGCATCTACTGCCAAGCTCAGAAAAGGGGGCATAAACAAGTAAATACCTGTAGGATAAGGGTACCAATAGTAACCTGGCCATGAAGAGCATTTATACTATTCTTTTCCATCAAAAATTTCAAAACCTGGGAAAGAACAAGGTAAAAATAGATATTGAAGGGCAGTAATAAAACTACAGGTTCAATAAGTGAGGCAATAAGGCCAAAGAAAAACTGATAAACTACTGAACAGAATTGACATAAACAATTTTCTTTAACAAATTTTCTTCTACATCTTGTTCACAATACATCAGGAACTTCCCTTTGTTAATATTGAAGGGTACACCAGAATCAGAGTTGCAACAGGAGTTATTATGTTGAGCAGAGGTTTTTAAGAGTAAATATGTCCATCAACAAAAAGCAACCCATATTTGGAAAGCTTAGAGCAAGTAGCAACATGTCAAGTAAGATCATGCAGGCTCCATATGTTTTCAAAAAAAGTATTCTCTAAAATAATATTGACTGCTGATCCATGCTTCAATTACTATAATTACAAAAAACAAGTCAATAAGAGTGGAGAAACTACAAATGAACAAAGCAATCAGACAGTCTTCTAATAGCACAAATCAAATAAACAGCCAACATAAGATTAAAATCTTTAAAAAGAAACATATTTTACAAACTATTAAGCATGGCATACTTAAATGAGTATAACAAAATACAGGCGTGTTACCAGAACCTACAGAATGAAAAAGCAACTCAGACAGTCTTATAATAGCACAAAACGAAAAAAGACAACATATGTTTAAAATATTTTAAATATATATATTTTACAAACTATTAAGCATGGTATACTTAAACGAATATAACAAAATAGAGGTGTGATTACTGGAAAGAACAAAGCAACTTAGACAGTCTTCTAATAGCACAAAGCAGATAAAAAGCCAACATAAGTTTAAAACTTTTTTAGGAAAAGAAAACATATTTTACAAACTATTAAGCATGGTAGAAAATGATGTGGTAACTTTTCAAAAAACTAGGATATAGTTATGAAGAAAATACTCATGCAGACACCTAACTAAAGGTAAGAGGGAAAAAACACGACAATTTTAACATGGTTTTGGTGAAACCTACTGCACAACCATCTGTGAAACATTTCCACTATTATTTCGTTTCCACCATTAAAGAACCCTATCTTATAACTAGGATCCTAATATTTAGTTAAACATAAATTAAATAAAATTAAGGAGTACAGATGAGATTCATGCAGGAGTACTTACTAGTTATATGTGAATTTATAGCAACTTATCTACATCACATGCACAGAGACAGAAGGAAAGAAACATCACCAGAAAAGCAATTAAGCATAGATATGAAAGGCAAACGCATAAACATAAAGCGAGACACTGATAAACCATATGACTCACAGTAACAATTACATATGCAGACAACCAGAACTCATAAAAGTTCATTCATCAAGGTTACAATGTACAAGAGATAATCTAATATTAGAT